GAAGAAAAAAAAATACCCACCTAAAAAAACAGCAACTACAGTTTATATATATGAAGATTTTTAAAAATGAATACGTATATGTATATACCTACGTGTGTGTGTGTGTATGTGGGTGTGAGTGTGTGTGTGTGTGTGTGTGTGTAAAGATATATATATCTTTACTTACAGAGAAATTCCTTCATAGTATACGCAGGGTTACTACCATGAACCACCCACTACCCACCAAATTCAAGGTTTTGAGGAGAAATTTTAAAAATTCAAGGAGATTTGGTGAAGAAATTCAGGCGGTTTTCAACGGCGTGCCAACAGCAATCCGACAACAATTTCGTTCATGTCTGATTTGGCAAAATTCAAGGAGTTTTCAAGGAGATGTTTACCTTGAATGCAAATTCAAATAGTTTTCAAGGACTTCTTGAATTCAAGGAGACCCCAGGAACCCTGTATGTATGTAATTCTACATAATGGTCTACTTTCTGATACAACGACATACACATAAAGTCACATAAATGTCTTGTAAACGGATAAGTAGTTTTTTTTTAGTAGAGGGTTTTACGGCGCTCACAACTGCACAAGGTCATATGAGGGCCAAGAGGTGGGTGTCAACAGAGAAGTCCTTACAGTTAGTTACAGGGAATCAGACTTACTCTGCTCACCTCTCTAGCTTCAACAGCACAAAGTCTGCTTCGACTATCAAGGCACCCTGGAAATAGCAGGTCACAAGAGTGTGACAAACATACAAAAGAAGTAGAGGAAAATGACAATAGTAAGGATTAGGAAAGAAAAAGCAGCAGTTCCTTGTTGTAGATCAGGCACAGTTATAAGCGTGACATGATGAATCAGCCCATTTACAATTCTACTGTGCTTGAACGAGAAGTGTCCCCCCTTTGGGAATGGCCTAAAGACACTACAGTCAGTGGCACTGCCCCGGGGGGAAGTAAACAGATTATGTACGTGTGACTGGACTTAAAAACAAAACAGAACACATGGCAACAACCCATACAGCCTGATAGTCCTTGTAAAACAAAACAAAAAACATGAGTGTGTACTTCAGTCACTGAAATCCAAAATCTCACTGCAGACCACTTTTTCCTGTCTGTCAAAGCATACAATATCACGAAAAGAGAAAATGGCGTACCCGATTTCCGGAAGGAGGCTTTTGTAGTCGCCAGGATCAGCTGTCTCGGGGAAGTTGGACAAGATGGCAAGTCTGTGGATTTTTTTGTTTTCCGTAAGAGTTTCTCGGCTCTTGCAACACAAAATAGGTCATGTAAGTGCCGAAGATTAGAGGTGTTACAAGAGAGTAACGTAAAAACCAAAGAAGGAGGAGAGATAGGGATGATAGATATTTCGTTTTCGTTAGAGTTTTACGGCACTTGCAAGACAATAAGGTCATATAAGTGCCGAAGATTAGAGGTGTTACAAGAGAGTAACAAACACAAAAAAAAGGAGGAGGAGAGATTAGGACGATAGATGTTTGATAGGAAAGAAGGAGCAAACCACACCAGAGCACCCGCCAACCACCCCAGAGAGAGAGAGAGAGAGAGAGAGAGAGAGAGAGAGAGAGAGAGAGAGAGAGAGAGAGAGAGAGAGAGAGAGAGAAGGAGACAGAGACACAGAGAGAGAAAGAGTCAGAGAAAGAGTCTCAAGTCTGTGAGAGAGAAAGAGAAAGAGTCAGAGAGAGTCAGGGAGAGTCAGAGAGAGAGAGAGAGAGAGAGTCAGGGAGAGTCAGAGAGAGAGAGAGAGAGTCGGAGAGAGTCAGAGAGAGAGAGAGAGTCAGAGAGAGAGAGAGTCAGAGAGAGAGTCAGAGAGAGAGACAGAGAGAGTCAGAGAAAGAGTCAGAGAGAGAGAGAGAGAGAGAGAGAAAGAGAGAGAGAGAGTCAGAGAGAGAGAGTCGGAGAGAGAGAGAGAGACAGAGAGAGAGAGTCAGAAAGAGAGAGAGAGAGCAGAAACCTGTGAGGGGCCAGGTCCACGCTGTGAAAGGTCATCAAGGTCTCCACTGCCCGCCAGTCGTTGTCCTGTGGACACACACACAACACAGCGCGTGTCAGAACACACACAACACAGCACGTGTCAGAACACACACAATACAGCACGTGGACCCACACACAACACACTGCATGTCAGAACACACACAACACAGCACGTGTCAGAACACACACAATACAGCACATGGACACACACTCAACACACTGCATGTCAGAACACACATAACACACAACACAACGCGTGTCAGAACACACAAAATACAATACACACAACACAAGGCTTTTCAGAACACTCATATTACAACACGCACTACACCGCGCGTGTCAGAATACAC